CTGCTATTGTGTGGCCAGGTAGGTTGAAGTGTTCTCCTACCGGTTTTTGTATATTGCCATTCCTGATATCTGACTTGTGTCCATTTATCCTCTTGCGTAGGGACTGTCCAGTTTGGCCAATGTACACAGCAGAGGGGCATTGCTGGCATATGATGGCATATATAACATTGGTGGACGTGCAGGTGAATGAGCCGGTGACATCAGCTACAACATCAGGGCCAATGGAAAAAAGCACAGGTGGAATTTCATCTTCCAATACAGTAGGAAAAATGCCTCAACGGTGTTAAACAGTCTTTTAACACTGCATCTTCCTATTCATGACACAGTCTGGATCTAGTAACAATAACTACAGCTAAACCTTGGGACTGAGTCTTTTCTTCAGGTGATACCAAACAAACAACTACAGACAGGAATAAGAACATAAGAACAGCCATACTGGGTCAGACCAAAGGTCTGTCTTCCAACAGTGGTCAATGCCAGGTGCCCCAGAAGGAAAGAACAAGTAATCATCAAGTGATCCATCCCCTGTCGCCCATTCCAAGCTTCTGGCAAACAGATGGTAGGGACGCCATCCCTGCCCATCCTGGCTAATAGCCATTGATGGACCTATCCTCCGTGAATTTATCTAATTCTTTTTTGAACCCTGTTATAGTCTTGGTCTTCCCAACATCCTGTGGCAAGGAGTTCCATAGGTTGATTGTGCGCTGTGTGAGGACATACTTCCTTTCGTTTGTTTTAAACCTGCCGCCTATTAATTTCATTTGGTGACCCCCTAATTCTTGTGTTATGAGAAGTAGAAAATAACACTTCCTTGTTTACTTTCTCCACACCAATCATGATTTTATAGACCTCTACCAAATCCCTCCTTAGTCGTCTCTTCTCCAAGCTGAAAAGTCCCAGTCTTATTAATCTCTCCTCACACAGAAGCTATTCCATACCTCTAATCATTGCCCTTTTCTGTACCTTTTCCAATTCCAATACATCTTTTTTGAGATGGGGTGAACACATCTGCACACAGTATTCAAGATGTGAGCATGCCATGGATTTGTATAGAGGCAATATGATATTTTCTGTCTTATTATCTGTCCCTTTCCTAAGGATTCCCAACATTCTGTACGCTTTTTAGACTGCTGCTGCACATTGAGTGGATGTTTTCAGAGAACTCTCCACAATGACTCCAAGATCTCTTTCTTGAGTGGTAACAGCTAACTTAGACCCCATCATTTTATATGTATAGTTGGGATTATATTTTCCAATGAGCATTACTTTGCATTTATCAACCTTGAATTTCATCTGCCATTTTGTTGCCCAGTCACCCAGTTTTGAGAAATCCCTTTGTAGCTCTTCGCAGTCTGCCTGGGACTTAACTATCTTGAATAGTTTTGTATCATCTGCAAATTTTGCCAACTTTACCCCTTTTTCCAGATCATTTCTGAGTACGTTGAACGGTACTCGTTCCAATACAGACCCTTGAGGGACACCACTATTTATGAATGAAAAATGAAAACACGAAATGGAAAATTTAAAAGGATTCTTATTTATGTATTTCATCCACACTCTGGAGACACTAGTATTTGAAGTAGCATATTCCCCTCTCATTAGGACACTCATACAATAAGCCAGAAGTGCAAATGTCTCTTTTAGACTTTAGAATTCAAATGACTGATGTCACAAAGTTCAGGTATAATTTAGGTTAATTACATTTTAAAATTTCAAATTTACAATTTTATATTACACACAGTGTGCCTCTTGAATTGAGTAATCCACGTACCCTTCATGACAAGCTGCGACATCACATCATTTATCATCATCTATGGCTCCATGACAATTAGCCTTGTCACATTCTGATAAAAAACTATCTGAAGTACATTTGGAACAACATTTCACTACGACATTGCACAATAAAAATCATTTCCAGTAAAAATGTGTTAACAGCAGCTTTTAGATGATACATGAGATCACACAAATACCACATTTCCATGCTCACTCCAGCAGATCACCCCACAGAATTATTATTAAGCAAGATCTGACTGTTCCTTGAGTATTAGGATTTTCCTGTATTTGCTAGCAACAATCTGAAATTGATCAGAATCACATCATTCCAGTCAGTTTCTAAAGGGTTTGCACTGGGAAGCTCTAATATACCAGAACACAGTCATGATTATGCTAAGCAATTCTATTCCAGAAATGTTCATGACAAAGTGAAACAAAGGTTTGTCAGTCGCAGGATGGGGAAAGAGATCCCAGGTGATTGGATGGGTACAGAATGATGGGACAGAGACTGACAGATAAATGAAACAAGGGATGGGGAAATCAAAAACAAAGTAAAATACTTTTTTTTTTTAAATTGCCGGAGCAGATTCCTAACATGAATTGTTGATCTCCTAATCTGAATTAATTCAGGTGGACAAAAGGGGGAAAGAAGAAGATGATGATGAAAGGATTCCCTCCCTAAAGGCAAAAATACAACTGAAACACTGTACTTAAAACATATTCCCAGGTATATTAAAATCATGTTTTCCTCACACTAAAGTTACGACCACAGATGCATAAATGTCAATATAATTCCCACGGCAACCATAACTCACAGCCCTGCGCATAGGCACTAGTTTTTAAATTTTCTATTATGACAAAAAATGGCATTTGGGTCAAGTTATAATGATTCCTATACGTATACATGTCTACACTGTAATTTCAAATTTCCTAATATGTGTGTGTAACATCTCAGCCACAAGACTGTATTCACATTAGTGCTGGTCAAAAATGTTCAGACGGAACACTTTTCTGTCAGAAAATGTCCATTTGACGGAAGCTAACCGTTCTGCAGAAGCACAGAATCATAGAAATGTAGGGCTGGAAGGGACCTCAGGAGGTCTAGATGTCCAGCCCCCTGTGCTGAGGAAGGATCAAGTAAACCTAGACCATCCCTGATGAGTGTTTGTTCAGCCTGTTCCTAAAAACCTCCAATGATGTGATTCCACAACCTCCCTTGGAAGCCTGTTCCAGGGCTTAACTATCCTTAGAGTTGGGAAGTGT